CCTGCTGAGGTGGCCTGAGCTAAATAGCAGGTTTTTTTCTAGGGAGAAAATAGGATGTCACCGGGGAGGCAGCAAAAAGTGAAAAGTAGTGGAAAGAGAGGAACAGAAACCTGCTTGTTAGGTGTGCAGAGGAAAGGGAACAAGTTCCTGAGGTCCTGAGCCCCGGCTGAAGCAGCTGCAGAGCCTGCCTGCTCCTTCCACCTATGGGACTCCCACCCTCACCCCAGTTCTGTGGGCTGCAGAGTCCAGTGAGAAAAGAATTTCCTAAAGGTTCTTTCTCCTCATCCTTAAAGAGTTTTAAACCTCAAACCACTGAACCACACACAGGAGTCTAAACTCTTGCCCCTCTCAGGGCAGCCTGGGGACAGGGCCTAACCCTAGAGAGAGCATCCCAGGCCTGTGGGGAGCTCTGGGTTAGAGGCTCAGAGGCCTCTCGGGCAGGGAGTGCATTCCAGAATCTGCTCCTCCAGGCTGGGGGCCCCTTTCATTTCCAGAGCCCAGATAATGAGTATGCCCTGGCTGGCATGATGGACCCCTGATGAAACTCAGAAGATAAGAAAAGAAGGGCCCATGCCCTGCTCCTGCCTGGCAGCACACAACCACCAGGTCATGCTCTCGACCTGCCCCTTGTTCTAGGGCCCCCGTGTGGAGAGTTAGAGGCAGGCATGGCCACACAGAGCTGTCCCACCTTGAGAGGGCACACACTGCACACGTCTCACATGTGCATCTGGCAAGAGGGCTGGGCCCAGAGGTGGTGAAAGGAGGGAGGAGGTCAGCTCAGATGGTACCACCAAGAAACAGCCTAAAAGCAAATAACCAAGGAGATCAATAGCTCCCGCAACCCTGGTAATTAAAAATCAAAGGGGAGCACTGGATACATGGAAGAAAGGGGGAACCCCCTTCTGCCTCTCTCAGAGCCACCAAATATGTGGCATAGGATCAGCAAGAAGTTGGGGCGGGGCAGGGACCACAGGCAGAGAACGTGGACAGGCCTGGAGAAAATCTAACCATGGGAAAAAGGGAACAAGGAGGGGGAGGGGAGGGGAGGGAACGTAAGTTTCTTGGATCTAAGTTTCCAGAAGCATGGGATATTTCCACAGTCTCTGATCCAGTGAGCTCTTCTGGAAGAGAAGCTCTCTTCCCCTGGGAGCCCCATCATGGGGCGGTGACTTCCATCCCGAAGCTGGCCAGCAGGCAGAGGTGGTCTGAAGAGCAGAAGGGGTTGGGTAAGCCGTTGGCAGCCCAGAGAATCTCTTCAGAGAGGAGGGAGAGTCGGCCCAGGAGCTTGAGAGTTCCGTCCTGATACAGCCTGTGATCTGGAGCACAAAGTGGAAGCCAGTGGGTAAAGCAGCCACAGCCACAGTGCATGTGGCAGGCAGGGCTTGTGGAAGGTAAGCCTTATGAAGGCTGCATCCCCCTGGCTGTCCACCCTCCCTCACCGCCTCCTGCTGCCTCTGGCTGAGGCATCATTTTCTCAGATACTCTGTGTTATATCAATGAATGAAGCAGAGTGGGTTTTAGGGGACTGACTGTGGCAACATGGAGAGTGTATGCCCTGGCCTATCACTACATACAGATCTGATTTTCTAAGAAAAACTGGAAATCCAGATTTTTTTATATAAAATCTGATTTATAAACACAGGTGATCAATTTAAACATTTTAAAAGACATGCTTTTAACAAAGTAGACATGGGACTGGTTGACTACTACACTGTGACTATTGGTGTAGGGTAAGGAGATAGGAAATAGAGTCTCTAAGTTCTTCGCTAACCAGCTGCCACTGAATAAATCCAGTAACCTCTTAGTGCTCTATTTTTACCTCTAAAATAGGGATGGAGAATGATTGTTCTGCCCACCTCTCTCTTATGCTACAAGGATAAAAAGAGAAGGTGGACAACTAGTCTAAGGAAAGTCTGATGAAGATGACCAGTGCCAGGTAGGAATGAAATCTGCTCCTCAGATGGTCAAGTCCTAGCAGCCCATGCCATGCCACCAAATGCCTGACCTATCATCAGCCGTTCCAGGGACCCTTGGGGAAGGATTCTAGGAACCCAGGATCCACTAGGCTTACCAGTTCCGTTCCCATTCTCGCAGGAATCAGCTGAGAAGAAGATGTAATCCACTGTCGTTCCAAGACCCAAGGGCATTGTGGTGACCTCTGGGAGGCCATGCTGGGGCAGGAAATGCGTATAGGCCGAGGTCAGGTGGAGGCAGTGCTGGATAGTGCCTACAGTCCTACAGGGTGGAAGGGGAGGTGTCAGTCAAAACACATTACTGAACTTTTTCTCAAGCTTACTTTCTCGTGGGTTTTTTGAAGTTTTTTTAAATGAATGATCTCAAATAATTCAGTCTCAGCAAAAATTCTTTCTCATGCTAATAAGAGGCTGATAGTCCTAGCTATAATTAGCCTAGAAACAGACACATTTATACTCTGACCCCCTGACATTCTTTGACCTCCACTTTTCTTGCTACCTGGTGAAGTATACATAATATACCCCTGTCCATGGGTCAGCAAGCGCTGTGAGGCATTCCTCCCTACACAGTGAAAAGTAAGTTCTTCATCTGCAAGAACCTGGGTGGGTCACCTCTGGACTCTACACACCTCTATGTCCCTCCATAAATGTAGCAAGTATTAGGGGAAAGGAGAGAGCTCAGCAAAAAGTGCTCCCCCAAATTAGCCTCAGGAAAGCCAGTGGGAATCTCTCTCGTACCTAGAAGGGCTGGAATGCAAGCTAAAGGAAGGAAGACTACCTGGGGAAGACAGGCTCAGGCTCAGATGTGTCTTCCTCAAGGACAGACTCGGCCCAGCCAGCAGGTCGCTCTGTAGAAGACCGGAGAGAAAGAGGTTTTATCACTGGCAGACAGCAAAGCAGGGTCGGAACCTTGCACCCTGAAATCCCTCTGAGTTCCTTAACTAGAT